GTTGAACGAAATCATGCGCGTGCCATGTCTTCTCGTATAGTGAACCGCCATTTTCAGAATTCTTTTTTATTGTAATTTCATGAGACTCTCAAATATAATTTTTTATAATTGACGAGAGGGAGAGATTACTTTCGAGACACAAGTGAATTTTAAAAAACGATATGCTTTCGCGTATCTCGCAACTCCAGTATCGTCCAATCTCAAAGTTCCCTTTTCGCAATATAACGGTATTAATAACTGACGCGCGATCGTGCGAATCAGGACGCGGCCGGGGCTGGAATTCCGGCGGCAACCACCCATTTAAGGGCCACTTCCGAGTAACGGCTGCCGGCGAAGAGCGCGCTGTCGACCAATTTCTTAAGAATTTTACAGCCCCAGCTAAACTTTCGTGATTAACTACTTCCGTAGTTGTTTTCAAAAGTGGAGCGTATATTACACCCGCTTGAACACGCCCGGGACGTCGTTTTGGTCCTCGGAAGAAAACGTCTAAATACGAGCTTTTACCGGCCGACCTCCTTCGCGCGACGACGCCCGGCGGCGTCGCGCACGCCCCCGCCCCCCCCCCCCCCCCCGCATTCACGGCGCTTCTATTTCGCAAAGCTCATTTCCCCACCGAGATAATTGCACTGTGATATCGCGCGGCTCATCCTTCCTTCTTCTTCTTTTTTTTTACGTCCTTGCGGAAGCAGCTCGTCGTTCCCAGGACGACGGCGGCGGCTTTTATTGCGCTTCTTTACACGCTGATGGCTCACCCTTACCTTTACGTTTACCGCCGCGAGACGTCCCTCGGAAACTTTCTAAGTCGATAAAGCTTCCGCCAACTCACCTTCGAGATTTTCGCATACGCCTCTTACGCCGTGCACAACCGGATGAAAAGGTACATCGACATCCTCGATCGACCGGGAAACTGGGGGGAAAGAAATCGTTTTTACGTGTCGTTTTACCGTTTGAGAGAAGATCACGTTTTTTAACTTAAATTTAAAGAAGTTATTTTATTGCAGCACAGCAGTCAATTAGCCTTGGTACAAATTCAAATCGACTTAATAAGAATTTATATTTTTAAAATATCATAACGTCTCTTGAACATAAATAATACTCTTAATTTTATTTCTGTTTTTATCTCACTATCACTATATAAATTCTTGCAAAGAGCTTTAAAATTGTGATGGATAATACATGGTCGGACGTGCACGTATAAAAATATTAAACAATTTTGAAAGATAAAGAAATTCAACTCCAAATTTTTCGAAAAACCCATTGCTAAAGTTAAAATCGCACGTACGTTATCATAAAACCTGTTATTTTCTTTAATTATTATAATTATGCAATATTATACACGTAATTTCCAGTCCAAAGAGTAACATGGGATTGCCCCGTTTCAGGATACGACAGGAAACCTTGACATCCCTCTTTCCCTCGAAACGGAAAGTGCGTAATCGAAGAGGGAGCAGACCGCGCGTAACCAATGGAGAAACGCCACGGCTAAGGAAGCACAATCGGCGAGAGACGCTGGGCGCTTGAGGAAAAGAGCCAGGACGACGGGGGCCCGGCGGGGGACACCTCGTAGGGATAGGGAACGGGGCGACGGAGGGAGAACGAAAGAGGCGGCCGGGCCGCTACATCCGCGAAGCTATTATAACCGCTCGAGCGAATCTCTATTAAAACGTGTTTACACTGGCTTAGGGGTTGACTCAGGCCGCGCGCACCCCCTCACCCCCCTCTCCCCCCGCGCGCCCCATCCACCCGCGGTCCTTGGTTTCAGCCAACTCGGGGCTTCGTGGTTGCCACCCTACACACATACACACACACGTATGTACATACACGCGTACGCGCGCGCCGGGGAGCTGTGTATACGGAGTAATGCCTATCTAATTGTCGCGTGTATGAATAGTGAATCCCGGAGCACTCGAGGCTATGAGCCAGATCCGAGCTAACACAAGGGAGGAGCCATATGAGCTAATCTATATTATGATAGCCCGACCTCCGGGGTTGCGCTAGTTCGCCTCCCCCTCGTCTCTCTCTCACTCTCTTCGTTACCCTCGTTGCTGGCGCTACTATGCTGTTACTCTACACGACACGCGGCCGTACACCGCTGATCGTTGATGGTGGTCGCTGGTGGTAGATACTCTTACAGAAGAAGCGCAGTACAGTCGTTTATTCCCCTTCCTTCTCCTTTCGTCTCTTTTAGCCGCGCGGAGGAGCTTTTTGAAACGGATTATTATATATGCGTGAGTAAACATAGATATACCATTAAGATACGGGAAAATAAAGACGCGGTATATAGGAAAGATATTGTTTGTTTTAGGGGAAGTAATTCTTCTCTTATATAGAATTAATATTTGCACAATGGAAAAATTATTTTATCGTATTTTCCATTTTTTTTTTAGTTACAGTTAGTGAGATTAATCTTTATAAAAGATATCGTATAAAAGATAACGGAATATTTAATTGTCTTTAGTTGCGAGGAATGTTTCAGATGTAACTCGAAGAACGAATTTGGAGCTGAAATATTAACGTATTAGCGCCAACTGACGCGATGTTATTATTGACAATTTCCGTTTTCGTGGGACACCATAAAACCTAATCGCTCCCTGTAAGAAATTCGACGTCGTTGATAGTGGCCAGAATTAGAATCTTGTTAATGAGGAGGTGGAAGGAAGGGGGGAACTATGTGCACGTACGCTCGAGCATTGCACGTATATTCAGGCTGGGTCCCTCGTTCCCCTAACCCCGTTTATTATTAACGCTCGTTTATTATTATCTATTCGCGCGGCTGGCTCGCCCCCGTTACATTTTCTGATGAGGTTATATTACCGCGAATTCTCACGTGTGGTTTATTGAAATTTCGTATCGCACGCGGGCGCCGCGCGTACGGGCCTCCCCGCGCCGCGCGTCTTACCCCTCGTTAAATAAGTAATCGCTTGTTACATACTGAAGCTATCACGCCGCTTACTTACGCTATACTCGCTGCGGGACTCGGCTCGCTGTGTTTTTCCGCATCCCTCGGGTGAAATCTCGTTTACTTTGCGCCGCTTCCGCGCGGTCAGACCAGAGACTAATCCCTTCAGCTGAAAAAGAAAGAGAGTCGTTATAGAAAATATTTTTGTACCATTCTTTCCAAGTGTACTTTTATAGCTACGTAAAAATGGCATTACTACCCTTCTCTCTAAGTTTTCTCTTACTTTCAAAATTTATTCACGTACTTCTGGCACAGTCTACACACATCTCGAGTATCGCATTTTTTGATATGATAAAATAGAATACGGTAAATTAAGGCTAAACTGAAGAAAAAAGAAAAGAAAACCGGGGTTAATTGGGAAATATTTATTGGGAAATAAACGATTAATTACTACAAACTCGCTAAAGAAGATCCGCGATACTTAGAAAGAAGAACAATAGCTGATTGTTATCAGTGCCGATTGAGCGTCTTTGCGACGCCTCGCTCTTCGACAAAGAGACAAGAGAGGAAAAGAGAAAGGGAGGGAGAAAGAGAGAAGAGCGTCGTAAGCTCCTGTTAATTTATCACGACGGAAGTCTGGGGTTGGAACTACTCGTCGTAATATCTGCCGAGCCATCCTTCTCTCGTCCCCCTGAACGAGTTCCGTCCTTCCTCCTCCGTGCCCCTCCTCGCTCTTCAGCCGTGGATGGGAGAACGTCTTATTTTATACACAAAGGCCCCCGTGATGGCGCGGGGCGTCGCAGGGTTTTCGACATAATGTCCCGACAGCTATTAAATGTGTATACGCACGCGAAGCAGACGGCACGTGACCATACGCGTGACGGGTGAAAGACGCTGCCGAGCGGTCACCCGGTAGCTTTTACCGAGTGTATCTAACGCGCCAAATTTACCGTGTCAAGCTTACGGGTCGTAAGATCGTGGAGAACATCGAGAAGAGCGATCAATTGATTATCGCTTGCGAAGAAAACGTCGCAAAGTCATATTTTGCTTAAAAAAAAACAACGCATATATAAATTATACATAAATATATATTACGTTTAACTTTATTCTATGATATGGGTAAAGTTTTTTTTTAATTTACGGTGTTAATTATTTGCTGGCAAAGTAAAAGTTTCTGATTTGGTTTTTTTAAATATTAGTCCGAGGTAATTGAATAAAACTACTAAAATAGTGACAAATTTCTGTTTTTATTGTCAAATTGCGATAATTTTATTAATAATTTAAAATTTGAGAAGATTACATACACGCGGACTATGTCGAATGTTTTCGAGGAATTGTATACGACGCAGACAAACGCACGAAATCCATTTCGCCAGTAGATACGGTTAAGTCAAACGTATTTGGGATACGCGTAATCGACTGGGCGTCGCGGACGAGAGAAGCGGAAGAGAGTGGTGGCATTTCGGGGCGTCGGGACGCCGGACGTCGCAATCTCGTCGTCCCGCCCACCCTTCTTTTCCGTGCCACTCGACGTGCGCCATTGTGATGGTAATACGTCTGGTCGGGAATCAGGGTCGGGAGCTATGTCATTCGAGAATTAATCGCTTCTTCCACGGTCTATTAAATTGCGACCGCAAGCGCGCCGGTCGCTTCTTCAGCGAAACTTACGTTAAAAATACTCTTTGCAGCAATGAACGTCACTGATATGTGACCAAAATTAATGATTTACGATTTAACCTGAGAACGGGCACCTAGGGTAATTTTTGCACCCCAGTATCGAAAAAATAAAGCTCAGTAATTTTAATGTGCTTGTTTCGTTTTTAAATACTTTTTGGTTTTTCCTTACTTTTTCCACAAAATATTGAGTAAATCTATATGTACATACTGCCCTCAGAACAATGACTTTTAAATGTAAAAATCAGGCACTCGATCCTAGGTTCAAATAAAAACACTTAATCGCTACAAGTGGATAATGTCAGACTTAGTCAGATCGAATTACCCGAAGGAGGTATATTTCGCGATATCAGATATTAGATATTTAGCAAGAGATTCCAAACTTACGGCAAATCTTTTTTAATTCTACAATTTCGTTCACGTCAAAGTCCGACGCTTCACTTCCGGTGAAACTCCCGGCCGAGACATCGCCAATTTGATAACGGCCGAACACTCGCCAATAGATAGGCGGACAGAGACACGCGGGTGCTTCTCAGATCGAGAGATAAAAAGGGGGAAAGTAGGAAGATGGGGAGCGAGGTGGACCGGGAGAGCGGGATGAAGAAGCACGATAGACACGCTACGGATACCGGAAGGCAAGAGCCGAGGTTGGGTTGAGGGGCGCCATTACGTCCGGCCACCCTTCGGTCCTCCACTTACCCCTAACGACGTTCCGGGCAAATAAAAGTTGATTTCTCTCTCTCTCTCTCTCTCTCTTTCTCCCCGTACCCGCTCGCCGTTCTTCTCCCACTCCGCGTTTCTTACCACCCTCCCGCTCGCCTTCCTCCTCCCATCACAGGCATCCCTCTGTGTCTCGTCCCTCCGTTTCGCCGCTTTATCTCTTTACGTGCCTTCCGCCTCATCAGCTGGCACAGGCCATTCGTCGGCACGGCATACGTGGACTCGCGCCAGTCGATAGAGGAAATTTTGGGTTGCCCTCGTGCCGAGTCTCGGACAGATCTGTCTAAAATCAAAATCACTTAGCCGACCGAACGGGAAATGTATATAATTGTAATTATTTAAATTTATACTCAATGAGGATAATTAATTAGCTTTTTCTTTACAAACAGATTTATTAAATTTCACAATTATTTTGAAGAATAATTCATATCTATATTTTGAGCCCCAAAAAATTATATTTTAGGAATTATATAATATATTTTATTGTTATTATTCTTACATTTTAATATATTTTTTTAATAGTTTAGAGAAATGATTATCGCATCGTCGTCCATAAAAATCACGATGGAAAAAAAATAATCTATACATTTTCTCCTTCGAATTGATAAACTGCGCGAGATACTTGCTTCAATAAATAGCTGTCGTTTTAATACGCTTACTCGAGTCTCCAATTGTGAGAGAATGATCAGTCCTGCAGGTGATCGTTTTTATTGTAAGAATCAATCACGAGAAACAGGCGACGTGTATCGATACCGTTGCCTGTTACGAAACATTTAAAACGTTATAAAATATATGTATCTTCTATAGTTTGCGTCTTAAACTAATTACAAATGAACGATGCGCTACAACGGCTCTCCGTTACTCGAGTCGCTCGATCTGACGATTTGCACATAAAGAGATTAAGAATGACTAAGAATGAGTATTAACTTCTGCCACACTTTAGAATAGAAATTAATTTTATTTTCACGATTTCTGAATATTACTTTTCGATTTCGACTTATTTAGGCTACGGAATTCCATAGCTTTGTAAACGGAAATTATTATGTAGTATAAAAATTTAATGTTGCTCATTGTAATTTTATGATAAACGTCATAATAGTACAGTTGCTTGCAGTTTCAAGAACGCAATTTCAAAAAACAAAATTTTGCAACTCGATATGTTGAGGATTGTAGACACACAATTGTCTTTCGCAGTTACTTACGGGAGAGACGAGTGCGGAAATGCGCCGCGATATAAACATGAGCATGTGCTGGCTCTTAACGACCGGGGCGTAATGATCATTTGGCACGTGCCGGATCGCTTTCAATAAATCCGGCAAAGCGGCCGATAATGATAGGGCGGCGTCCGTGCTCCGAAGGGTGTCCCGTAAATATTTCCGGTTGCCGTTGACGATCCGTTGCGCTCGGGGTAATACAATACTCGACGTAGAATCCATCCTATTCATTTGCATACGAGAGCCGTGTGCCGTGTACGCCATTATAACGCTGTAAAACAGATAAAACAATAAACAGATAATCTCTTCAACATGAATCACTATATCGAAATGTCACAAACAATAATAAATAATAGATTATCTACTGTTTATTAATTAATACGAGTTATAATGTAGTTTCAATAGATTTCAACCGCGCTCGGAAATTGCTGACGATTGCACTAAGCGCTCGATTTGTCATTAATTCGCGTCAATCGTCATTAATTCTGAATCTCCGGAATCGAAAAACACGTCGTAGGTCTCGAGAAACTAAAAGGGTTGAAAAGTGTCACGGATTCTGGAACGGCGTTCAGGTTCGCTGTCCTGGAATCTGGAGCGGCCTTCGGCAGCTGTACGCGGCTCGCATTTTTTTCCCATCGAAAGCGAAACGATGCACGATCGGAGTGTCACCGACGCCGCGCCGCGGCCGCCACGGTTCCGCTACTTCCGGCTGGCGAGAGGCGAGGGCGAGAGAGGGCGGAGGGCGAGAGCCCGCCGAAAATCGCGTTAGCGCGCGTGTTTTCGCGCGATCCAATCCGCGGCGGATTAACCAACCGAGGGAAACCTCGTTACTCTTCGAGCCGACGATACCGCTCTGTTCATGCTCTCTTTATCCGATTCCGTTCCCACTTTCTCGAGATAACGCGCGCAACCGCGCCGTTTGCGAAGAGCAGCTACCGTTCAGGCGGCTACTGTCGGAGCGTCGAAAATACATTTGCGGAGAAGTATATAAAACACAAAATCGGGGTATACATATATGTATTTAGTGAGCCTTCACTTAATAGAGATAACGATTAACTGATTAACAAGTTAATTAATAAAGCTGATTAATAAGTTTTACCAACACGTAAATTTTTTAAATTTATATTAAAATTAATTTGATAAGAATAATTAATTAACTTTCTCTTTACAAAAAGATTTATTAAATTTTATAATTATTTCGAGAATTATTCATATCTGTATTTTGAATCCTGCAAATTATATTTTAGGAATTATATAATACACTTTTCTATTATTATTCTTACATTTCTTTTCAATATTTTATTTTAAAGAAGTGAAATTGCGTAGCCTTAATAAGTCGAAATAATCAAAGTAATATTAAGAAATTAGGGAAAAACAGGAGTTAATCTCATTCTTAATCGATATGTTCGGATCGTCGAATCGAACGAGTAACGGAGAGCCGTTGTAGCGCATCGTTCATTAGCAATTAGTATACGAGACTCGGGCTATAGGATAGAAGATACATATATTTTATGTTTTATAACGTTTTAAATGTTTTGTAACGGTATCGATACACGTCACCTGTTTCTCGCGACGCGCCGCGAGGCTTTGTTTACCCAAGGTCGCCGCGCTACCCAGGTAGCAAGCACTCGTCATTTTGACGTCAATATTTGGTCATAATTGGTCAGTAACGTCATTCGTCGATTATGTGACGTATATTTAACGTCATGTTTTAATACGTCAAAAAGACTTTGTAAAATGACATTATATAGACGTTTAATTGACTACCCAGATAGCAGACAGTCGTCATAATGACGTGATTCTTACGTCATTTTATGACGCATGTTACGTCATTTATTCCTAAAGTTTAACGTAAAAATGACATTTTTCACAGTATTTTTCACAGGAATATTCCTACATTTATAAAGTGTTTCGTAACTTTATGAACGACGTGGTGAATTTATGGTATAAGTGGATCTAGTTGCGTGTGTAATTATAGTTTTATGACAACTATTTCATGCAGTGTTATAACTATCAAAAAGATATCATTACAAGATTTTTGAACACTTTAAAGATGTACCTGTTATAGACAAGTACAGTTAATAAGGAAACATCAGGGTGAGAAGATCGTCACTGTCCACTGGATCATCGAAGTCAAGCGACTCGGACGCGGTACTGTGCTAGGATGGGTGACCGCCTTGAGAGCGGCTATACGCACATGACATGTAACGAAACAGTTAAAAAAGCTTTTTTTTTTTTAAATAAAGAAAAAGAACATTTTTTTGTAAACGTTTATCAAGTAGACATTTTAAAATTTTAATTTCATAAAAAACATTTCTAGAAACCGGTATGTCGTACATTAGACCTATTTTTGCCGTCAATAAAACGTCAGAAAATGACGTCGTTGGGATGTGACTTAGGACCGTGAAAAATACGTCATTTTTACGTTAAACTTTAGGAATAAATGACGTAACATACGTCATAATATGACGTTAGAATCACGTCATTATGACGACTGTCTGCTACCTGGGTAGCATTCCGAGCATTCGTACGTCGGAGCTCGAGCGGACAAGTCGCGATGCGCGACGCGTTCCGTACATCGTCGAATTCCATGTCGAGTCCGTATTGGGAATCGGAGCCATCTAAAACAAGAAGAAGAAGTACATCGTCGGATCGACCGTATACATTACGCTTCGAGACACGATTGCGATCGCGCAATTGATTCTTACAACAAGCGATTAACTGTAGGGGCCGGTATCACAGTCTCCGATTAACGTGATCCTCCGATTAAACTCACTCTTCGTCTCTTTCTAGGGGGACAGTTAGAAAAAGATGCAGAGTGAGTTTAATCGGAGGATCACGTTAATCGCAGACTATGATACCGGCCCTAGGACTGATCATTTCAGAATTCGGGTAAGCGTATTAAAACGACGGCTAATTATTGGAGCAAATATCGCAGTTTATCAATTCGAAGGAGAAAATTTACAGATTGTTGTGTTTCATCGTGATTTTTACGGACGCGCGATAACCATTTCCCTAAATTTCTTTAGACGGTTGGCTCGAGATACCCCTCGCGTTTTGAAAATCGCGCTGACGCTGAGACGCAACTCGCCCCTCATTTCAGATCAATAGATCATATAAGCGTGAAGTGATACGCGAATCGCCGTATCGAACGCGAGTTCAAGGAGAGTCGTTGTGCCCGTCGCAGCGCATCGTTCATTAGCAGTCAGTTCGAGACGCAAGGTACTTATAGAAGGTACTTATACGCGACAAATATTTCGTAACGGTTTTGATACCCGTCGCCCGTTTCTCGCGACGCACCGCGCGGTTTACTTCACGGTAAGGTCGCCGTGCAAATCATTCGCGTGACGAGACTCGAGTCGGCGGACGGCACGCGACACGCGACGTTCCGTCATTATTCTTAGAGACGCGATCGCGGTGAACGCCTTTCGGTAGACGGTATTAATCTAAAATAAAGATGCATTGAAAGACTAAATGGTACATGTACAAACCAATTTCAACGGCGAACAAAACTTCAGTCCTGAATCTAAACTCGACGGTACATATGTGTCCTGGAAGCCTGGAGAGGGTTAAAAGGGTTATGCGGAGCGAGCCAAACGCGACCGTTTCTTGCTTCTCTTCTTCTCAAGAATCTCAAGATGGCACCGATCCCCTCCCGGGGCCGCGGGGTTCGAATTGGCCACGAGGTACCGCTCCTTGCGATTAGCGATTAACCTGCACTCTCGCGTGTCCAATCGAGAGATTGGAGTAACCTGAAGGCTATCTATCGCGCACAAAATTGCCTAGACTGCATGTATGCATAGCATAAGACCGCTGAACCAATGAGCATCCAGCATAAAATCGCCATATTAATTTACATAAGATGCTCATTGGTCCAGACGGTCTCATGCTATGCATACGCAAGCCTTATGTTTTTTTATGCGCGACGGCCTTGAAGTGCCGTGCAAAGTGTCCCGCGCAAATGTCGCGCCATATTTCTTTCCGCGTTTGACAATCATTTCGCGGCTTCGCGTGCGATCGTAATCGAACGTATTTTTTCGCGAGTGTTGTGCCGTGCTGTGCCGTGCCGTGCTGACTGCTGTGCTGTGTAATCGTGCAACCTGAGGGATCTCCTGAGAGGAGGAGGAGGCCTGGGAGGCGTCGGGCGACGGCGGAGCAACCTCGGGGTAAGTGTCACTCAATCATTTATCACATTATTTATCATTAGTCTCTTCCGATTTATACGAACTGTTAATTTGGCATGAATGAGAGTTAAAGAGAAGAGGAATTTTATGTACGAAATCTTACGAAAGCTCGAAAGAAAGAGATTTCTAGAATTCATTACTCCAGCTTACAATTGCTAGGAAGGGACTTGGCTTACAAAATAAATCCTTTCCCATACACGTCCATCCATACCTTTCTAATCTACTATCTGCTTACATTTACAAAGCTTATACTTAAAATATAACCTATCACAGCTTTATCTTTGGCATTAATTTAATTCCTTTCTCTTTTTCAATTTTCTGTCCCTCTTCTTTCGTAATTTCCTCAATATCTTACCCTTAACTAGATCTAATTTATCAAAGAAAGAGATTTGTAGAAAAAATTATACATAATCTCGTCGCGAGCACCTGTTTGAAAGATGAATGTGGAATTCGATATGCAATAATGTTTAAATAATCTAGACGCCGTTATAATTCGAATTCCTATGCTTATGTGTTACAGATCGACGTTGTTACAACTATATAGTTACAACTCCGCTGCTGCACATCGTTTCGGTGAGTGAATAATTTTTTATTTTATACTGAGGTAACGGATCTTTCGTTTTTGAAATTGATTTGAGTTGATTGTGTTAAATACATGTAATATATTAAATTAACAACGATATATAGAATATTCCTACACGTGACACGCGATCCTATTAATTCGCGCGACGCAATCTCACTGCGCAATTTTAATCTTACTCGGATATTGCGGAGAAACTTTTCCCCCTGCTCTTTTCATATATATTTTTTTTTAATAAGTTCGACCTAGATGTATCGCGTAATTGTTTCCGCTTTTTTACTTATCGGATTTTAATTATAGATAAGAAAATAAGCGGAGACCGCCTATTCGCGATGATTTTCCTAATGCTCTTTCCATTGACACCGGTAAAATTCACGGCGATTGAATTATCGTCTAACAATAATTTGTAATTTTGTTATAATTTATACGTAATATAATTTATATGCATATGAGAACTGTATCTGCGCTTTTATTACTTCTTATTATAGTCAAAAAGAATATCGTGTCCTTTACTTACACGAATGCAGAAATTATACTTTGCTCAACTTTGATCATTTCT